GGAGGAGAGGCAGTAGCAGGAGGAGCTAGGAGGAGAAGGGGAGAAGGATGGAGAACCAGGATCGGAGAAGAGATAGGGGATGGGGCCCCCTTAGCAGATGCAGCAGAGGCGAGGAGGCACCATCGCGTTCTCCTCTGATGGCATCCGCCCCCTCCTCGCTCTCGTGAAGAGGGGGTATGGTCCATCAGACGTGCCCCATCGCCCTCGTCGTTTCGACGGGCCCAGAGAGGACGCCGATCCTCAAACTTGATGGGCCACCCCGCCTCCGCGATGGCCCGCTCCGGGCCACCAATCCCAGCGCACGGGAAGGAGACTGTCAACTGGCACTCGAGCTGCGGCACGAACCCCTTGCGGCGCCTGACGCTGCGGATCCAAGGAGGGTCTTCGCGCACCGCCATCGGGCGCGAAACGCTAGGCATGTGGACGTGGTGAGGGAACTGGGTGGTCTCAGCAAGAGAAGCCCTCGATTTTCGAACCTCCATTGCAGCGCGATGGAGACGATGGCAGGTCACAAAAAGCCCAGACTGGGCGGCGCACGACCACATGTGACGCGGCATCCCACGCCGTCTGGCCCTCTTCTTTTCTAAACGCTAGGAGAACGCGGCGGCGTGCTGTCCGAGCGCGGCCATGTCGTGAGAGGTGGAGTCGACATGTGCGAACACGCCGACGACAGAAAAGAATCCCGAGGCGTTGTGCTCGGGCCACGCGTCCACGTCGTAAGAGGTGGCGTTGACGCGTGGCTAGGAGGCTGAGGCGAAGTAGCCCGAGGCGTTGTGCTCGGGCCACGCGTCCACGTCGTAAGAGGTGGCGTTGACGCGTGGCTAGGAGGCTGAGGCGAAGTAGGCACTGGAATCTCAAGCGGCGAAGTAGGCACTGGAATCTCAAGCGGCGAAGGGGTTGGCACCCAAGTCGGGGTGCTGCCCGGGCTAAGCGGAACCTCAGGAATGCCTTGGACAGCGGCCCATAGGGATGGGATCTCACGAATGGCATCGTCCAGTTCCCAAAGCTCACGAAGGGCATTGTCGAGAACCTCTGTCGCCAGGGACGTAGATGCCAGAGGCGATGGCGATGGCGATGGCGTCCTGCCAGAGCAGATGGCGATGACGCCCCTGCCCAAGAGCGCGGCCCGCGCCGCCTGCTGGCGGCGATGGGCGGCGCTGCCGCGGCGACAGCGGCGTCGCCAGATGGTCCAGCCAAGACGCCGACGCAGCAGAGCCATCCCAACAAGCAGATGCAAGACGCCCCAAGCTGTCCGAGCCTTCAAATGGCGGAGGTTACGCCACTGCCTGCAAGACGACACCCGAAGACTCAAAGTCGAACCCCCGACGATGACTAAGACGACGACTAAGACGACGACGACTAAGACGACGACGACGAGTAAGACGATCGGCAGGGATAAGCCAAACACAATGCAACGCAGAGCAATGATCCAGAAATGATCAAGGTGGCGTTAGAGGGCCCCCCCGACCACCCCTCGACCACCCCCCGACCACCCCCCGACCAACCCCCGACCAACCCCCGACCAACCCCCGACCAACCCCCGACCAACCCCCGACCAACCCCCGACCAACCCCCGACCAACCCCCGACCAACCCCCGACCAACCCCCGACCAACCCCCGACCAACCCCCGACCAACCCCCGACCAACCCCCGACCAACCCCCGACCAACCCCCGACCAACCCCCGACCAACCCCCGACCAACCCCCGACCAACCCCCGACCAACCCCCGACCAACCCCCGACCAACCCCCGACCAACCCCTAACCAATGAGGATGAGGAGGTCGAGGATGAGGAGGAGGCGGAGATCGAGGATGAGGATGAGGGGATGAGGAGGTCGAAGATTCACGGTCCGCGGTCCTCAGGCGCCCGCGAGGGCCAGCACGCCAGCCTCGATCGCGACATCATACAAGATGTACTGCCCAATGTGGCCGTCCCTCCACACCAGCGCAACGGCACTCGGGTCGTCCTCTTGCGGGACTCGGCCAGAGCGCCAACGCGGCACAAACCACAAATCGGGTACATCCCTTCGTTTGTTGCGTGGAAAAAACCACGCGTCAAGGGGCTGCCGATCTGGGAGCGGAAGCTCAAGCCAGCCAGGGGCCCACCAGTGCCTGACGCTCTGTTGAGCCCCTTCTGGGATGTGAGGCATCTTCGGCTGCATGCGCAGCTTCCGCCATTCAAACTGGCACTGCACACCACGGTGCATGCTATGAGGCTGCGGGCAATCCATGCGAAAGCCCGTGCGCCTGCGCTCCTCTCGCGTCTTGGGCGCGTCATGCAGATCTAAACCTGCGACCGCACCCTGCGCCCACACCCCGGGCGTGAATGTGACGATCGATTTGACGCCCGCGCCGTACGCGTCGCGGACGCTCTCGATGTGCGGAGGAATCCTCAGCGCACGGTCTTGCTGGCGGCGCTGCTCCTCAAGCGCAAGCATGTCCGCGATACAGCGGCACGGGGGAGGGGGGAGCAGCGCCCCTCGAGCGAAAAAAAGGTGGCGATGCCGATGGTGATGATGCGATGGCGACGATGGCGATGATGATGCTGATGATGTTGACGATGATCGTGCCCCTGACGGTGAGTACCAGCACCGCTTTACATGTGCGCACAGCATAGCAGAGCGCAGCATAGCAGAGCACAACATGGCGAATCGCATCGTTGGGTCCTCATTGAACAGCCTGAAAGCATGCAATAGCATAGCGTAGCATATTGTTCGGCCCCCAGCGCGGACACAGTTGAACAGCATAGAATAGCAAAGCGTAGCATATATTTGGGTCCCCAAGGCGGGCTCCCAAGCGAGGCGCCTTGATGGGCGGGGACCAAGGCTGGGCGCTCGGGCTCCAGAAAGGCGAGGGCCCAAGTGGAAGCCAAGAGGGGGGCCCAATGGACAGCATAGCACAGCGTGGCGCAGCATATCCCTCGCCCTCCTGGAAGTGGAAGAGGGGGCGAGGAGGAGGAGGAAGAGGAGAGGAGGAGAGAAGGAAGACTGTTTCGGTGGGCGCAGCGCGGCGCAGGCGTCGAGCTGAACGTCGAGCTGGGCGTCGAACTCGCCGTCGGGCCCGCTCAGGCCAGGCGCCGCCGAAGCAGGGGGAGGAGCAGGAAGCAGGAGCAGGAAAGAGGATGAGGATAAGGGGGATGAGGGAAGAGGAGAAAGGACAAGAGAGCAGAGCAGGAAGGTAGGAGAAGGCTGAGGGGGAGAGGGGGAGAAGGAGGCGGAGGAGGAGGACGAGGCAGGAAGAGGAGGTGGACGGATCTGGAGGAGATGGGGGAGGGGGGAGGGAGGGGGAGGAGGATCTGGAGGAGGGAGCTAGAGGAGGAGCTGGAGGAGGAGAAGTAGGAGGAGGAGGAGGAGGAGGAGGGAGGAGGAGGGGAGAGGAGAAGGAGGAGGGAGGAGGTGCAGTTGCCTGGTCCGCCTCTCGGAGATGTCGGGCTGCTCCTCCGCCTGGGACGAGATGCTGGGCGGCGCTGCCTGGGATGAGGATGAGCGGGAGCGTCGCTCAATGGCCTTCTCGACCTCCACGTAGAGCGTCGCAGGCAGCTGTCGCTTTACCTGGAGGTCGAGAAGGCCCTTGACTGACGACCCCCCTCATCCTCAGGGGGAGCTCGGGGAAGGAGGAGGAAGAGGAGGAGGTATAGGAGGCGGAGGATGAGCGGCAGCAGCAAGAGTTCGACAGCAAGGAGGGGACGAGGCCTCTTCGACGCCTGCCAAGTCGAAAGCCGCGTCCCAACGGTAGCCCTCGATCTCGCCCTCCACCTCCCGCAATCTATGAACCATGTCTTGGGTCCCCATGTCAGCTATCTCTTCTTTGACTTGCTCCATGCGAGCCTGGCGGAGGGGCCGAAAGGCAGACACGGGGACCCGAAACAAGGAGGATAGACTGGGGGGGTGGGGGCATCGATCGAGGACTTTGCATGAGCGCCTCCCCCCATACTGGGTCATCTGCCCTGCCTTCCTCACTTCCACCTTCCCCTTCCCCTCTCTCCCTTACCCCTCTCCCCCCTCTCTCCCTTACCCCTCTCTCCCTTACCCCTCTCACCCTTACCCCTTCCTCCCTTCCTCCTTCTCCTCTCTCCCTCTTCCGTCATTGAATTTGTGTTTCTGCCGACCGCCTGAGCTGGAGACCGCACGGTCCGCTGCTCCTGCTGCTCGGCCGTCGTCAAGTCCACCACCTCCACCTCCGCCACGCTCCAGGTCGGGTCGAGCGCCATCAGGTGATCCATGGCTGCTTGTTGACCGTCGTCGCCAACGCCACTTGGCCCTGCATCCTGGCCGCCACTTGGCCCTGCATCGCGGCCACCAGCGCCACGCTCGTCGTTGGCCGCCACCAGGCCCTGCATCGTGACATTCCCGAGGTTGCCTTGTACCCGCTGGCCTAGGCCGAAGTCCGCCGTCTGGGCCGTCGCGACGGCCGGGCACGCCTGTCCAGTCAAGGCACGGTCCTGACGGTGAGCAGCAAGAGCGGCCCTCTGGCGGACGATGGTGAGACGGCGCTCCCAATAATTCCAGTCCACGTCGTGGAGTGGATGGTGATCCACGGCGTCAGGCGAAAGCGGCTCACGGTAAAGACTGCGGATCAAGTCTATGAACTCAGCCTTCAGGTTCGGATCCGCCATCAACCGCTGAAAGATGCTGTCCTCGTCGCCACCGCTGAAGAACATCATGTCGCTCTGGACGCGTTTAACCACCGAAGCATCATCGCCAGTAAGAGGCTGTAGCTGGAGGCGATACATAGCCACAGCCTGGCCAACATGAAGAAACAAGTAGAATGTGAAAGATGCAATCTGCATTGAGATATGATAGTATGAGGCAATCGTGACCACCTTGAGCCTCAATGCCACCAATGATACTCGCCTCTGGTCCACGGGGTTCCTGGAGCCCTGGAGTAGCCATCGTCGCGAACATGTTTTTCAGCACGAAACTTCTTGCGCCATGCAGCTCTGGTAATTAGCAGCAATCCCCAACGCTGGAAAAAAAAGCCGCGGCCCATGGGAGTATCATTCACTCGGGCATGCTGTGCAGCACATGGTTGACCTCGGCCTCCGACGGGTGGTGGCCCTGATGCTGAACCTTCGCCTCGTCGCCCTCGAAACGGTCGTGCGCCAAAGCCCAAGCGAACAAGCTCGCTGCGCAAGTGCGTGCATCTGGATACAGATCAATCGTCGTCCAGCGGAAGCACGCGCGGTGGCAATCCCTATTGGGACACGTGATGTAGGCACGGCGCCTCCCCGACTTGCGAGTGAAGTTGTCGTAGTTCACCTTCATCCCGAGGAACTTGCGATCCTTCAACTCAGGAGGATGCACAACGGCGCCCTCGACCGCACCCCCGAGCATCTCGACGATGGCAGCCTCGCCCATGTCTGGCCCCCCGGCATGGTCCGTATCCTCTATCGCCAACAAGGGACCGCCCGGGGCACCGCCACCGTCCTCCAGCTCCGCGGGCGCCATGTCCACCAACGGCAGGGGCTTCGGGACGTCTGGAGCAGGCAGCGCGAGGAGATCTACCTTGGCGTCACCTCCCTTCGCAATGCGCCCGAAGTCCTTGTCAGTCAGTGCCAGGAAGTCATCCCTGTCGTGGAAGCCATGCAAGTTAGGTAAACTCAACAAGCATTGGTAGTAGTTTGCAACTTTGCCGTGAAGTATCTGACCTCCATTGCGCTTGAATATGTCATCGCAGCTGCACAATGCCAAATAGTAAGAGGCACTGCGAAGCACCATAGTACGAGAAAGAACTTTGGGCCCACCAGGAACGCATGGCGCAAGTGGCTCTGGCCCACCATCAATGGCCCATCCAGACGACGTGAGCTCCAGGGCAAGGTCATACTTGGACAGGCGCCCTGCACGACGGCCACTGGGCATGAGCGCCAGCGGCGTGGGGTTCGACGAGCTAACTCGACGCTCCCATCTGACCTTCTCCAGGGGAACATACACAAAGTCGTTCAGCAGCTCATCAGTATCTCGACGAAGCAGGCCTCCTAAGAGCATCCCCTCAAGGACATGAGCGCCCACGCCGTCCAAGGCCTCGACGACGTCCCAATAAGGCAACGCTCTCCCAGCAAACCCCAAGGCGCCGTGATCAGCGAGGTACTGGACGACCTGGGAGCTGGGCGAAGCTGCTCACCGAACGCCCCGAACCCCCCTGGCCAAAGGGGGGGGCGGGGGGGGGGCGGCGGTGGCGGACGAGGAGGTTTGGGAAATCTGCCGCCTCTGGGGCCCTCGGGGCCCTCTGGGGGAGGGGATGGGGGAGGGCAAAAAAGAAATGCTGGGCTTTTCATATCCTCCTTTCGTCCTCTTCCTCCTCCTCCTCCAGACTCCTCTCCCATCCTCCCTCCTCTCTCCTCCTCTCCTCCACCACCTCCTCCTCCTCCTCCTCCACTCTTTCGTTCTCCGTCGTTCGCTCCCTCGCCATCCTTGGCGCACTTCGGCCCCGCAGGAGGATCCTCGCCGACGATGGCGAGGGCGGCGCTGAAGTCCCGCTCGGCCGCCTGGGAGGAGCCGCGGCGCTGGCAGGGCGAAGCGGGGAGGGGAGGGAAGCGGGAAGGGGGGGGAAAATGAGGAAGGGGAAGTGTGGAGGAGGGCGAACTGGGGAGAAGGGGGAGGGGGAGGGAAGTGGGTGGAGAGAAAGATAGAGAGAGAGAGAGAGAGAGAGAGTGTGTGCGCGTGTGCGCGCGTGAAGGACAGAGGGCACAGAAATGGATGACTGGCCTCGGTGATGGTCGCCAGGGCGGCACCGGGGGCGGCCGTCCAGCCGCGCAGCTGGCGCACCCTGTCGTCTGTGCACAGGTGGCACAAGTCCAAGTGCAAGGGCACGCCGTCGTCGAACCGAAACGTGTTGTCCCCTGTGCGTCGAAGGCGAGTGACGACAATCGTGCATCTGACCGAGCTTTTGTGAGCAACTTTCATGAACTTCTGAACTTCGGGCCGGGCATTCACAACTTGGAAGTGCTGATGATCCGCAGCATCGTCGTGGCCCACTGGCTCTCTCTGAACCTCGACTAGGCAATCGAGTTGCATCGCTGGATCTGGCAGTGCTTCCAGGACAGGGCTCGGGTCCGATGCTTCGAAAACGCAATCATTGAAAATCTGAAGTGGTAGGGAGAATACAACTCCAGGGACTTCCAAGCGACTCTTCAGAAAACTCATCATGAGAGGAAATGTAGGCGAGCTCGAGGGCGGAGTGGTGGATGGCTCTAGAGTTGAAGCGGTAGACGCAACCCAATGACGATGTACAGCAGTCTGGCCCCCAATCGCACGATGTTGAGATTCTGGTGAAAACATATAGATATCCGCCCACCGCGCTCTTTCCTTGCCGAATATTTTGTAGCGCCATCTCTCGTTGGGGGGCACTGTGTGCATTAGAGCTTGCCATGCCAATCTACTCCTTTGAAGGTGCTTGCAAACAAATGCGTGGAAATCTGGATCTGAGTCAAACAATTTCAGCACTGCCGTCTTGTTCAGAGATTCGTTGAGGAGACATGGGCTCATCCGTATTTTCTTTCGCTGCCATATTCTTATCTGAGCGTGCACTCCTTCCACTCGGCGGGACACGGAAAGTCCAAGGGCGTATTGTAGCAGCTCCCATTCGACATCAGGCGAGAGATCCCCCCCATGTGCGAACCTCTCAATGCCCTGCCGCAGCATGTTGTCCGCGCCGAGGATGAGATGGCGCGTCGCACGGTGGAGCTTTCTGGCCTCGCCAGCCGCAACCACGCGGTCCCTCTCTGCCAGGCTCGCTCTGACCAGTCGCCTGCAATCCTGGGCGGGGGGTCGCGGAAATGAGGAGACTGAGTTGGGGCCGGGGGGGTAGTGATAGGGCTGCAGCGCAGGATGGGGGGCAGAAGAAGCAGGATAATGGAGAGGGCACACCCACTTGCGTCTCCTTATTGTTAGCCTCGAATCCTTATCCTTCTAACCCCTATCCTTCCGTCTTCGTCTCCTCCTCCATCTCCTCCTCCTCCTCCCCCTCCTCCTCCTGCTCCTCCACCACCTTGCCCCCGCCCGTGGCGTGGCCGGGAGGCGGGAGGGATGGGGGCATGAAAGATTGTGCCCCGCGGGTCCTCAGCTGGATACCTCGCATGCTTGGCCCCCAATGCGGCCACCAACGAATATGGCAATTCCACGGCAAATTGGAATTTACTTCGAATCTCGTTCGTAATCTCTCGCTTGAGGTCGGCCCCCATTTGAACTAGTCGACCCCGCTCACCCGCAAGAGTGTTGGCCAAACCTTGCTGCAGCCCATGAGATGTGTATTCGTTGATATATCTGCATGTGGTTTCAATATGGCCATGTGACAACTCTATCAGCCTTCTTCCTTTCCAAATGCAATTCGCTGAGAGCGCCTCGTACTTCGGCCATCTCTGGCTAGGGGCCGTGTCGGGGTCTCTGAGAATCCACTCATGGCATCGGCACCCCCCAAACCAAGATGCCTGCTTCCCCAAGCCGACGCAGACCCCGCACAGCAACTGAGTGTGCGCCAGCAGGCTATCGTCGTGCATAGCGAGGTGGAACTCGCCGATGACGGTGACCTGCAGGCGGCGGCGGAGGGTCAGCAAGAGGCGAAGGAGACGGGCAGAGAGGCCAAGGGCGGCAGGGGAAGAAAGGGAGGGCAAGGGAGGAGGAGAGAGTAAAGGAGCAAGTAGGAAGGAGAAGGGGGAGGAGACGGACACGGGGGGCGATGAAGGAGGAGGGGAGGAGGAGGAGTAAAGGAGCGAGTAGGAAGGAGGAGGAGGAGGAGAAGGAAGAGGAGGAGGAGGAGGAGGAGGAGGAATAGAAGGACCCGAAAATCCTGGGACCGCTTTTTTAACCATCTTGGGCCCCTTTGGTGGCCCTACTTGGCCAGTCGCGAGGCCCTCTCGGGCCCCCCCTCGAGCCCACCTCGGGTCCGAACTACAAAAAAACGCGACGCACGTATGCGCCCGCCGCGGACCCCGAAAACTACGCCGGCAACAACGAAGTGGGCCGCGAGATCTGACCTGGGCGCGCACAAAGCCCACGGCGCTTTCGTGCTGTCACAACTCTAACGATTGCGCGGTAGAGGACCAACGACGCGTTCTACGCATATGTGTGCGAAACGGAATCTGCGCATTGGCACGTGTTTGATATGATACCGTCGCGTCGCGAACGCCCACGGCGTGGGCGATGCCCGCCGCAAGGATCACCCAAAGGTGGGCGGGCGACATCCGCCAAATATGCGTCAATATTTGCGAGCGCTTTTGCAAGGCGCCCGGTATCGCCAAACGCGAGGCGATCTACATCCGCAGTAGATAGCACGTGCGCGCAGCGCAATGAAACGCATACCCCAGCGGCACGCGTTGCCGCCATGGGCCGCGTTCCGAAGTCTGAACAAACCAATCCAACATTGAAACTCACGGCGCGCCGCGCGATCGGATAGGGAACACCAACCGGGGAATCCCCCATAGACGCGATGGCGCGCAAGGGGGCGCTGTGATGCGCGAGCGCGCGGTGACAGTGGCAACGCGCATGCAGGCATGCACCACTGTCTAGCGCAGTCGCTGGCCAAACTCGCCTGACCTCGTCAGCGCGCCCAACTAGGTTCGATCCGACAGGGGCACATTGGAGAAAAGAGGAAGAATTGCACGAAAAATCGCGGCGCGCTGTGGCGGGAGGATAACGGGCACTTGCGGGCGGGGGAGGGGGGGGGGCTGAAGGAGGATTTGTTCCCCTCCCCCGTCGTTCCTCCTTCCCCTTCCCTGCCCAACGTGCCCCCCTCGCCCGTTCGCTCCCATTGCCCATTGATTGCAAGCGGCGTCATGCTTAAGCGAGCCCGACGCGCGGCGGAAGGGGCCGCGGCCGTGACGACATATGCACCGACATCTCCGACTGCATCAACCCTGGACAACATCCGACAAGTTTTCGCACCCGTAGCGGAACGCACGTCGGCGCCCCTGTTCTACCACGCCCTGCGCGGAAAAGCGCAAGGCGCGCTTTGGATGTTCCCTGGGACAGAGGGGCTGTTTAGGGCGGAGCGCCCTCGCGATGGCGACGATGATGATGAACCGATCGGTTGCCCTCGATGCGTTCACGCGGTACGTGAATGGTTCGCCTGTTTTTCCCTCACGAGCGCCTAGAGACTCCCCTCTCTGCGCCCCTGGGGCTGATGCGGCAGCATTGCTGTAGTTGCGCCTCGATGGTTCGCGTATCCCCACCAGCCCCTCCAGAGAAGATGCCCCGTCGATTTGCGCTGGCCAAACGCGGTTGGATCTTGTGATTGAAGGGCGCTCTGTGCGCCGTGGCCCTGTTGCCTTCACCGGCCTAGGGAGTAAGGCAGTACTAGGGCGGGTGACTCCGCCAAATTCCAACGCACATCGCCTCGTAACCGCACTAACGCCTGCCAAGGCCCGCGTAGTTCCCCGAGTAGCTTGCCATGGCGGCCCAAGACTTCCCCGTGGACGTACTTCCTTGGAGAAAACAACGCGCAAAGTACGTCCACGGGCGTTTCCTTGGGCCACTGTGAAACGCGCGGGCGCCGGTGGACGTACTTTCCCCGGAAAAACTACGTCCACGCGCCGCGTGGCCGTTACCCCCGGTGGACGTACATCCCTCGGAAAAACTACGTCCACAGAAGTGCGGCGGATGGCCGCGCGGGGGGGCAACGGCGGCGGAGGTAGTTGCCATGGCCGGCGGCTCCGCGGCAGTAGTTTCAAGAGTAGTTGGTAATCCATTTGCACCGGCGAGGGTAATTGCCCTGCTGGGTTCTGCAGCCAGGCGCCTGGAAAGTGATTCACGCGGGAGCGCCTGTTCTGGAAATGCGCATGTCCCAGGGTGAGGGGCATTAGGAGCAGGAGGGGGAGGCGCAGGAGGTTCCCAGGAGGAGGGC